GGAGCAATCAACACAATTTTGACGTCTGAACACAGCAAGGAGATGATCCGCTATATCTACAATCATCAGGTGCAGCAACAGCATCGATCTCATCTGTTTCGATTCAAGGAATTGACGATTGAATTCATGGCGTGGTTTGCAGAACGAGGACGGCGGATGGGGATTTTACATAGATGGGCACAGCACGATGATAGGCTCAGCACTCAGCTATGTGACGCTGCGATTACTCGGAGAAGGTCCTGACGACGGGAACGGCGCCGCCGAAAGAGCTCGCCGGTGGATCCTTGATCACGGCGGCGCTACGGGAATTCCGTCGTGGGGGAAGGCGTATCTCTCGGTATGTGTACGGATTCCCGCCATAGTCTACAGAGCAAATTATATTCAAATTTCTAGGGCAAAATTCCCTAAATTGCAATCAATTGGCATCCATCAGGTGCTTGGAGTGTATGATTGGGATGGCTGCAATCCTCTTCCCCCGGAATTCTGGTTATTCCCTTCATATATGCCTTTTCATCCAGGTTAGTTAGAACTTACTTTGCTCAAATGCACACCAAGTGTTCGACAGTTTGACTATGAGCCTCTATGCACATAATTTCAATGCCTGCAGCAAAAATGTGGTTATTTTGCCGCACAACGTACATGCCGATGTCATATCTTTACGGAAGAAAGTACCATGGCCCGATTACAGATTTAGTGTTATCACTGAGGCAAGAAATTCATGTCAAGCCCTATGATCAGATCGATTGGAACAAGGCGCGACATGATTGTTGTAAGGTAGGCATTAGGCGGTTGATTTGGTTCTCGAGCTATTTATTATTCATCAGTGTTCTTTATTTGTTGAACTGTGATGCTTATTCATCAATTTCAACGATGCAGGAAGATCTTTACTACCCACAGACCTTCGTACAAGATCTGCTTTGGGATACTCTCAACTACTGCTCGGAGCCCCTGATGAGGCGATGGCCTTTTAACAAGATCAGACAAAGGGCCCTTGACAAGACGATCAAATATATGCGCTATGGAGCAGAGGAGAGCAGATATATCACCGCTGGATGTGTGGAGAAGGTACGTTTTTTGAAGTTATGATCTTTTATGATTGTTTATATACAATGTTTTGTGATGCAGAGTTTACAAATGATGTGTTGGTGGGCTTATGATCCGAATGGTTATGAATTTAAGCATCACCTAGCCAGGGTGCCTGATTACTTGTGGCTTGCAGAAGATGGAATGACCATGCAGGTACGCATCCTGATTCTTAACCTTATATTTGTCGAAATAATGTCTAGAAAGCATCCTTTTGAAAATAACTTATTGCTACATATATGATTGCTTGAAGAGTTTTGGAAGCCAACTATGGGGCAGCACTCTTGCCACTCAGTCAATAATTTCGACAGGAATGGTTGAGGAATACGGAGATTGTCTTGTGAAGGCGCACTTCTACATAAAAGAATCTCAGGTACATTTCTGAAAACTGAAATTTGGATACTGTAAAAGTAATGCTGTTAGATTTCAATTTACTTGAAGCCATGAAAATAATGTGTAGATAAAAGAAAATCCAAAGGGAGACTTCAGAGGCATGTATCGACACCCTACTAAAGGAGCATGGACCTTCTCCGACCAAGATCAGGGGTGGGTTGTATCAGACTGCACTGCTGAAGCGCTGAAGGTATGTATTCCTTTTACATCCTTCACAGATCATACCTCAATGAAGAAACTCGGCATTAATCAGATAATATACTCTTACAGTGCCTACTCTTACTCTCACAAATGCCAACTGAAATCACAGGAGAGAAGCCTGATGTTGCCCGTCTCTATGAAGCTGTGAATGTGCTTCTTTATTTACAAGTATGAGTTTAATCAAATGGGAAGTAAAAGTTTTGTTGATATGTTTATGCATTTGCCACTTCATTTGAATTCGATTCAGTAGTTTGTGATTAAATGCTTGTGTTGCGTGTTTTGTTCAGAGTCCTATAAGTGGGGGATTTGCCGTCTGGGAACCCCCAATTCCACAGCCATATCTGCAGGTACACACACATATATATATATAACAGAGATCAATATGCAACTTCCGAATTCACAGTTTCAGCACTGCGCGCACGCAACAAGGCTATTATATTTATTTATTGTGTATTTTGACACAGGTTTTGAATCCCTCAGAACTGTTTGCAGACATAGTGGTGGAGCAAGAGTAAGATCTTAGAATTCAATACTCTGAAACTCTTCCTTTCGACAATTATGCGCACACTCCTAAGTCCTAATTCATTTATGGACCTGGTTCATGTTCTTAGACATGTCGAACCCACTGCTTCAATTGTAGAAGCTCTTCTGGCATTCAAGCGCCTGCATCCAGGTCACGGCGAAGAAGAAATAGAAGTTTCCGTGGCAAAGGCATTAAACTTTCTCGAAGAGAAGCAATGGCCGGACGGTTCATGGTTGGTATATATTACCCATAGTTGAACCTAAAGACATTCATTCTAAACATAGGATTTCAGATTTCTAATCTCGACAACAAATGTAGGTACGGTTTTTGGGGAATTTGCTTCATTTACGGCACATACTTTGTTCTGAGAGGATTAGCTGGTGCAGGGCAAACATATGAAAATAGCGAAGCAGTTCATAAAGGTGTCAAATTCCTCTTGTCAATACAGAACAAAGAAGGCGGATGGGGAGAAAGCCTCGAGTCTTGTCCAAGCATGGTAAAGTGATCGATATAACTACGCCCTTACAATAGGATTCACTCATTTTTTTACAATATCATGACAGAAATACACACCATTGGAAGGAAACCGCACAAATTTGGTACAAACATCATGGGCGATGCTCGGACTTATGTATGGCGGACAAGTTAGTACCTTCATCCAGCTTGCATTACGCGCAACGATACCTTTTTATCCACTCAAAGTTTGTCTATCATCTTGACTCTGCTAAACTTGTTTCGAACATCCAGGCAGAGAGGGATCCCACACCCCTACATAAAGCAGCAAAGCTGCTAATAAACGCGCAAATGGATGATGGAGACTTCCCCCAACAGGTTCTAACCTGACATACAAACTGTCAATTGTTTCATTACAAACTCAATTCCCTGACCTAACACACATGATTTTACATCTCTGCAGGAAATAACTGGAGTGTACATGAAGAACGCCATGCTGCATTATGCGCAATACCGGAATATTTTCCCCTTATGGGCGTTGGGAGAGTATCGCAAACGCAGCTGGCCTTCTCGGTGCCTCTAGAAAAGACATACATGTATATATATATATATAGATATATGTATAGATGCTCAGTGAATCTTAAACTTCTTCACATCATTACTATGAAGGTTGTAACGTAACATCTTGTTGTAATTTAATCTCAAACAATTCAGAGAGTATCTCTTCTTCCAACCCTTCATGTGCTATATATTTTTGTTGTTGTTAATAAGGTCAAAATATCTTATAAGGAAAGTAACTTAGTCGAATCCAAGTATATCAAAGACTACACATATACAGTATTCTCTCTTCTCCCTATTTCCCAACAATCTTATATATACAGCAAATTCAATTATGATAATACAGTTGTGGAGATAGGTTGCCCATCATTGAAGGAAACACCAATTAGATAAAGTACTGAAACTCCTTGAGAGAGAGAGAGAGATGCATATATATATATATATATATAAAATAAAATAAATTAGAAGTAGTACTGACTGCAACTGTATAAACTTCCAGTGCATTGAAGAGAATAGCTTTAGGAAAGAATCTTCCTGAAATCATGCAATTGAAGGCAGATAGCCTAATTATTATAAACCATAGACACACACACACACACACACACAAAAACCAACCCCTTTACTCCTCACTTTAATTACAACCCTAAAACAGAAACAAAATGACAAGTGTGCATTTGCCCCTATATATATATTTACATGTGTACAAACGTTGCATAACTATAAACCATATATAGATACAACCCTACTAACTAATTTCCAAATTTGATTAAAAGGCATGCATGCAGTGCACGAGCCCTCTCTCTCTTTCTCTCTCTCTCTCTCTTCACTGATCTGCCAACTTTGGGCTATAAGACGACATAAAAGCACATGCATGCATACGTGGAAATAGGGTCCCAACTCTTGTAATCTTTCATCTTTCCAACCCTTGCCATGTTCCTTTGTGGCAGAAAGCTTATTGTGCATCTCTTTAATCGCCGAGCTATGTGTGTATATATATATATATATATATATATGTACAAGACCAACCCATTCATCTTCTGCCCTGTTTGGCCCTAAAGAAAAGAAAACCCCCAATTTCCAAACTTGCCTAAATTATCATATATATATATATATATCTATATGTATATGTATGTATGATCTCAGTACCTTACACGCTTCTTTATTTAATTGGTATTGATGGGCTTCATGTGCACCTGTGTAACCCAATCAAAATGCTTGTATCTAAAGCTTCTTTGTAGAAATAAAGAAATTTGTATATCTATATAATATGGCAGCAAATGCTGACGGTTAGGGACAGGGAATAAAGCTGGGCCGCTCATTGTGCTGCCAAGAAATGGAAAAGGGAAGAAAAGGAAGAGCTAAACAATTAAAAGAATTGCTGTTTAATGTAATTTAATCTGTCGAATTTAATTAAGATAACATTATCTTGAAATTGTTATCCCCAACCCTTTTGTATCTATCTATATACAATTAGGAATATATATATATATATATGTGTGTGCTTGATCACCGGAAGAAATTAAAGGAGATAGCCTAGCTTGCTGAGAATATATAGGTTTTATTTATTTATTTAATTGTAACAAGCTATTATGGAATCCACGTCTAAAAGTGGAAGACTTTATTTGCGACCAAGTCAGAGTGTAGTCTACTCTCTCATCAGTTTCTTATTTGAATGTAAGAGTGTATATATATATTGGTTGAGGCTATGATAAAAGCAGAGATGGGAATTCAAAGATGGAAATGACTTTATTAAAATTAATAATTACTAATTAATTACGATCGAGGAATATATCAAATACATCTCTATTACATTAATTTGCAGCTAAACAATTAATGATGTAATTTTTACAAATCTGAAATTAAGATTGGAGAATCTACCACACTTTCTGGAGATACTACACTATTTTTTTTTTTTCTGCCTCATCATTGTCATCATCAGCCGTCCGTTCTGGCGATCGAAACGGTTCTTGTGCAACGATACATGGGATGATCACCAAGAAGCTAAGAAACCCATGATTAATTTTGGTCAGTTTTGGATCATTACCAAAATTATAAATAAAGATCGATCAATTCCCATCTGCATTTTGACTTCAATTGTGGATCTTCTCGATCCCCGAATGAATTGAGTGTGATTATATTATATATTTTGCGTTCAAGAATATCTTTCATGGTGGTAATGACGAAATGACCGAATTACCCCCCAAATATATTCCTCCTGCAAAACCTGTTATTTACATGCAGTGCTGCACCGATCCTTAATCATTAGAACTGTCTTCTGATAAAAACTTTGAAGGCCAGAAAATTAAGGATCATCGATGAACACATGAATCTCCGATTCCATCTTCGATTAACCTGTTTATGCAATAACAAAATGAATCAAAATATCCCCAAGAAGAATTAATAATGGAAAATTAATTAATAAAATATTCTTGACAATATATATGTATATATATACATTTTGCAAATTACATTTACACGTCAGCTAGCGGCGGCATTAATTAATTATTTACCTGTGAAGAAGCATCTGAAGTTAAGGAAATGGAAGCGGCGGACGGCGTCGATGAAGAAGTGGTGGCCAATGCCGATAACCCGACATTGTACGACATTGTCCCGTCGGGCCGGAAGAGGCCGTAATTCCTCTCGGAAGTCGGGCCGGGCTTCATATCCTCGTTGAACAAAGCGAACACGTAAATCTCGAGTCTGGCGTTTGGCCTCAACGGCGTCCCCTCATTCGCCATCTGTCGCCGGAGAATATTCCGGTTGTAAACCGCCGCATTCTGGAAGGTGGCGCCAACCTCGTCGGCGTCGCCTTTGGAAGGCCAGCCTGTCTCCGACACCCTAACCTCAACCCCCCCGAATCCCATCTTCTCCATGGCGAAGACGACGGCGTCGACTTGGGCGTACAGCATGTTGTCGTAATGCAGCCTCGTGTTCGGATCCGACATCCCCGAATTCGGGTTGAATAGTACGTAGTCCAGCGGGATTTGGCTCGGGTTGTCCTTGTAGGCAAAATACGGGTAGGCATTGATCCAGAAGGGGGCCCTGGTGGCCGCCAGGAACTGTAAGAATTGGGGCATTATTCCGGCGAGTTCCTGCCGGAAGCTCCCGGCCGACGGCGGGAACGATTCCTGGAGAACGGCGAGCGAATTGGGGGTGGAGACCTGAATGAACTGATCCAGACCAAATTTGGCGAGGGCGGCGTGGATGCTGACGACGGCGGGGACGAGGTAGGTTAGGAGGGAGGTGTCGTCGCCGGAGAAGACCTCGTTGCCGACGGCGATTCCGGTGATCTTGGTGGCCGGAAAGTAGGGCCTGATGTGGGTGGAGACCCATTGGAGGGCCTGGTTGGGATCCGTTAAAGATGCGAGCATTTCGTTTTCGACGGTGACGATGAGGTCGATGTTGGAATTGGCGAAGGCTGTCAGGACCTGGGGATTGGTGTCGTAGATTCTTGCCTTGGACAACCTCAGGGAATGAAGGAGTTCCAGAACCTTCTCTGGCGGCGGCAGATTGTTGGCGACTTGGCCGTAATTAATGCCCAACGGTCGCACAAACCCCAAACCTGATCGAGTACAATATTAATGATCGAATTGAAGAGGATTACATAACCTCAATTAATATCATCGAAATTGACGAAAAAAGACAGTCAATTAATATACATACCTGACAAACTTGTTAGAAAGGAGACGGCAAGAAAAACAGAAATCTTGTTGACAAGATTCTCCATAGCAAAGGGGGAAGGGGGGAACTTGGGTGGGAATCCAAAGGGGGTATATATAATCTTTTAGAAATCGTTGGGGTGGGGTAGGGTGGGTGGAATTCCTTTCTTGGCTTGTTTGTTAAATAATAATTAGGTTAGAGGGGAGGGTTTCTTTAGAAATTGGGAATTGCCCAAAAATGAATGAAATGAGAAGAAGCTAACGTACGTAGCCTAGGTTTCAAGAAGTGTAGTCGTGGGTGTGTTGTTTTTATAGGTTCTTTTGGTCAGCAACATCGTATCAGCTACAGCAGAACCGTAGATCGATCATCCATGTCGCTTTTTAAGGAGGTCATTAATAAATGCTGCTTTCTTCACATTAAAGTAAAGGGTCAACACCAAATTCATCCACATATACATATATATATATATATATATATATCCCTATGTATTTACAGTCACCACAAGTACACCTGTAATTCTTATCTAATCAAGTCAAATGTTTAATTTATATAAATATATGTTTATTTACGCACACGAATTCAATTTATTGTTATAATAGATAATTAGCATGCACCTCTCACAGTAATTAAATTAAGTTTACTTATGAATTTTAGACATAAAAGTATATATACTGACTACTGTATGAAGTTTCAACCAGTGCACATGATGAATCGTGAATTGGATCAAAAAGTTTGTCAGAATTCCACTAATATGGCCGCACCGCTTTTCTATATTACATAAAGTTAAGTCATGTTTACATTAATCTGAAAAAAAAAAAAAGTACTAATAAGCTTAATTATAGGATTTTATATTTTTTTTATAATTTAAATGTATTATTCTAAAATCAATCACATTAAAAATTATTTCAATTGAAATTTGTAAAGTTAACTCAAATGAATTCTTTAAAAGAAATACCTAATGTCGTAATTTATTGAATTGCAGTTCTTTTTTGTAAAAGAATTAATTAATGTTGGTCCTGTACTTCTAACATACAACATGCTTACATATCAGTACATTATTAATATAGACATATTGCTCAACTGTTGCACGCATAAAGCTACATACATACATATATATGAATGAATAGGATAGGATAGGATGCTTGATAGATTTGTTCATCTTAAGTCGTGTTGCGTGAAGCAATTTGACGCCTCCAGAGTATAAATAAAAGAATAATTAAAAGTGTTGATTGAATTTTTATTGCAATTTTACATTATTTCACTGTGCACTAAAAAACAACACTTGGATTAGTTAATTAATCGATATTGGTGATGTCGAATATAGTCATAATCCTGCACAGCCAAAGTCATAATTTAGTGTAATCATGTCTAATGATGACATTGATTTCATCAATTACTTACCAACAAATTAATTAAATATTATATATATATATATTAATGTGGAAATTGTTGGTAGATAAAATTAATTAAAGTGGGTTCATGGACAGCTCTTGAGATCTCTTTTGACTAATTGAGGGAAAATTGATTTAATTATTATTCATACACATATATTACTTGTGGAGGCTTATTATAGGATAAAAAATTATTACACACCAAGGCAAAGAAATATAAAATTGTTTGGCAGAGATATATGGATAATGAAAAGGATTTGTGCCCTAATCTTTTCAAATAATAATAATAATAATAATAATAATCATAGGATGTTCCAGCACCAATTCAGTTAAAATAAAATTAATCAACAAAATGTAATAAAAAGATTTCATTTAGATTATTACTTAATTAGTTAATTAATCATAATTGACATTTCCACAGCACACGTACAAGTCATGGATGCATCAACTCTGGAGAGAGATCAAATTAAAGACGACTATTGACAGTGACTTGGTAATTTGAACCTCGACTTTCATAGTCATCTTCGATTCACTGCTCCATTGGATATATATATATATATATAGAAAAAAGTAAAAAATTCAATTCCATCACATGAGATATATATATATATATATTAATTTCCTGTGGGATAGAGACAGCAATTGGCACTGTAAATTATAAGAGGAGAAGATGGAGCAGAAAAGCAGTCATCTTTAGTTTGTATCAAAATTAACAGATTAAAAAAGGAAGAACGAAAGGCTTTCGTCATACAAGTAAGAAAAAAGCGCATTTTCACAAAACAGCGACAATGGTTGTAACAAAGCCCCTCCTTTTTAGGGTTTGACGATTTTCCCCAGATCCTTTTTTTTTTTTTTTTTTTTTTCAAAAAATAAAAATAAATATTCACGTAACATAAAATCTGAAAGGATCAATGGATGTAAAAAAAGAAAAAAGAATTGATGAAATCTATATATATATATATATTATGAAGTGGAACCGCGGTCGCTATATATTTTTTTTAATGCCCTAAGTCTTTCACCAAATTTATAAAACAAGCTATTTTTGCAATACCCCAAGCTTTTCAGTAAATTTAAAAAACAAGTCATATCTTATATTTATATAAATGTAAGGTAGATACTGTGAATTCATATTATGCATGTGAAGGGATATCCCCTTTTACTTTTGTTAATTAGAACACATACACATGCACATGCACATGCATGCAGTTCATTACATATATATTAAAATGTATTTTTATGTAGTTTCCTTTCGGTGTACATTTAATTTGTTTTAATTAATGAATGAAAATAAAAAAAAGGGGAAAGGAAGTGTGTTTGGCAGTACTGTAGAAGAGAAAGAAATTAAAGACAATTGGTGTGACGAATGATGATGATGATATATAAGAAGATATTGTGGTGTCGGTAAAGCCATTTCATTTGGGGGATGAATTCATTGGAAATTTGGAATAATTAATTATTTAATGCAATTGTGCTGGAATTTTATTTACCAAAACAAAATTAATAAGAAATTAGTACTAGTTTTGTTGTATGGTTTGAGATATTTTAAATGAAAAGTATGTATTAGATATAAAATTTTAATAAAAAAAAATATTATATTAAATATATTGAATGTAATATTATTTTTAAATAGTAAAAACTATTAAATATAATATATATTTTTTTAAATAGTAAAAACTATTAAACATGAATAGGACATGTATAATTTCTAACAAGGCATTTCTTGGCCCAAAGTTTAGAAAAAGCCCAAGTTATTACTTAATCAGCCCATATGAATCTCTATAGTCTATTAGTTAATGTTGATGGAAATATTAATGACGCAAGATATAAATATATATATATGTATTAATGTAACTTTAATTTGTAGGTGAGTTGGGAAATTAGCATAATCAGTGATCAGAAACAAAAGCGTGTTGAAAATATAAATACATCACATATAATTATAATTATAATTATGATATGACAATGATTCTTTAATATGAATAGTAGGAACTCTTAAGCCTTAAACATTTTAAAATATGATGTATTAATTAATCCCAATTCAGTTGGCTTAAGATTATGTTTAATCTCGGATCATTCATTACAACCCTCACTTTATTTTATAATCATATAAATACAGGAACTAAACATTTAATCTTCTATTTTTTTTTTTTTACTACTAGCTAGGTAAGTAAGTTGTATATATCAAAGTCGACGGCCGCCGGTGCCAGCTTCCCGGTGGCAGTTATAATAAATAGCGGCCACCGGATTGCCGAGGTTGTGGAGTTGAGAGAATTCCCGGACGCTAAAACCCTGCCGCCACCGGGGACTCCTAATGGTAATCCGCCCATTCTGTCTGAAAAGAACAAAGACGAGGCGATGGATTCCCATAGACGGCTGAGGTCCTTCGTAGCTCACTATTTCATTGCCTGTAATATAGTATATGTATATATTAACTGTACTATTACATTTATATAAAATGGGTTGTGTGTAATATTACATGTGTGCACTAATTAGGACTAATGATTAATCCTAATCAGTAGGGTGAAAAGCTCAGTATTTATTTAATTATGTCTTACTGTGCATAATATTTGTTTTATTTTTTTTCAATATTGTTTTATTTTAATCAAAAATGTGTCACGGGTTTCTCACCGTAGCTTGCTCCCGTGCTTCCCGGGATGTTGGTCACCAACCTAATAAAATTAGAGGCTATGTTTACCAATATGTATTTGTAAATGTTGATATTATTCATCAATAATATTTTTTGAATTCAGATTTTATTTAAAATATTATATATAATACATTTACATTTTATTAAATACTCAATGTTTTATTATTTTCAAAATTCTTCAATTGAGATCAAATTAATTGTTGGCAAAAGTAGTTGTAAGTCTTTTGAGAAAAATTGCACAAAACTTATTTTAAAAAATACCAAAGAAGTTTCATGTAATTTTTGAATTATAAAATAGTTCAAACCTCTTTAATTATATCCTAAATTTTGATGGTTACTCGGAGTGAAATTGGCAAAGCTGCACTAGAAGGATATGTGGATTTCTGACTGTGGTCTTTCTTAAATAAATATATATATATATATATATAAATAGTATTGTAGTGGGTAGATTCTGAGATAACTAACGTACCCGTGTACTAATCAAAAACCACAAAGGGATGCTCAAAAAGAAGGCTCGGAACGGATGGTGGAATACTTTTTATCTAGAATATATGACATTTCAATACATATACATATATATATATATATATTTTTTAAATGTATGTACAGAGCAGACAAATTAAAATATGTTTTAGTTCCTAATTATTTTTTTAATTAGGCATTAATTAGTTAAGAATAAAAAATAAATAAAAGAGAAGTTGTACCAGTGCAAGTAAGCCCTAAAATAAGGGTCAGCAGGCGTCGGAGAATCTGCATCTACCATAACCTACCCAAATTTAATTATTACATGTAATTAATTAATTAATCGTACAATATACTACAAAAAAGAAAAAGTGGAAACGACGTCCTAAGTGTAGTCTTACGAGGGTATAAAATGTCCGGAAATCTTCGCCGCCGATCTCGACTCTGGGGGCCGCGGCGACCTGAGAGGGCCTGAAACTGGCGCCGCTGAAGACCATCCGGCCGCCGTCGGTGAATAGGCGGAGATCTGTGACGGCGGCGAAAGGATCGAGAATATCTCCGACGACGCCG